GAGGATAGCCAGAGCTTGTTACCTCAAGCTGACGAGGCCGGCTGAAAGGGAGGGACAGCGGATAGATACCATCACGGCCGCCGTCGCCATGGACGAGGAGAGGCCACATGCAGAGCCAGCCGAGGAGGTCGAGGAAATCCCTCTGGATACCTCCCGGCCGGAGCGGGTTCTCAGGGTCGGAAAGCAACTCCCTCAGGACCAGCGAAACGCCGTCCTCCTCGTCCTACGGTCATACGCCGTGGTCTTCGCGTGGGGCCCGGACGACATGCCCGGCATCAGCCGACAGGTGATCACTCACCGGCTGACCGTCGATCCGGCCTCCGCGCCCGTCAAACAGAAGCGGCGCTACTTGTCCGCTGACAGGCGGGACTTCGTCAAAGGAGAGGTCGCCATGCTCCTATCGATCAGACATATCAAAGAGGTGAAGTACCCAACATGGTTGGCCAACGTCGTCCTCGCACAGAAACCGCCGACGTTCAGAATGTGTGTTGACTACACTGACCTGAACAAGGCGTGCCCCATGGACCCGTTCCCTCTCCCCAACATTGATCAGTTGGTGGACGAGACGGCGGGGTGCGAGTTGATGTCGTTCCTCGACGCTTTCAGAGGATACCACCAGATCTCCATGCACGAAGATGACGCCGAGAAGACGGCATTCATGACCCCAGAGGGAATATTTTGCTACCTCGTCATGGCCTTCGGACTCAAAAACTCCGGCGCCACCTACACTAGGATGGTGGCCAAAATCTTCAGAGCGGTCCTTGGCCGGACGATGGAGGCGTACGTCGACGACATGATCGTCAAGAGCAGGCAGGCCACCTCCCACGCCGACGACCTCCGGGAAATCTTTGAAATCATGAAGGAGTTCAGGCTCCGCCTTAACCCCAAGAAGTGCGCCTTCGGCGTCCAGGGCGGCAAATTCCTTGGCTACATGGTCAGCCGGAGAGGCATCGAGATAAACCCAGAGAAGACGCAGGCCATCATCAACATGGAGCCGCCCCGCAACGTCAAGGAGGTACAACGACTGACGGGGCGCCTGGCGGCCTTGAACCGGTTCCTCTCCAGGTCAGCGGAGAAGGCACTCCCCTTCTTCCAGATCATGCGCAAGGCAAACAGCTTCAAGTGGACGACGGAGTGCCAGGAAGCATTCGACGAATTGAAAAGGTACCTGTCGTCCCCACCCGTACTCTCCAAGCCCAAAGCCGGCGAAACCCTCTTCCTGTACTTAGGGGTGAGCACGTCGGCCATCAGCTCCGTGCTCATCCGTGAGGACGAAGGAGTGCAGAAGGCCATCTTCTACATCAGCAAGACACTGAGGGAGGCCGAGCTCAGGTACTCCCCCATTGAGAAGACGGTGCTGGCCATCGTCCACACTGTGAAGAAGCTGGGGCACTATTTCCAAGCCCACACCGTCCATGTGCTGACCCAGCAGCCTCTCGGCGCGCTCATGAGGAGCCCCACTAGCTCCTCGAGGATGGTGAAATGGGCGATCTTCCTCAGTCAGTTTCAAATTGAGATCAAGCCAAGGCCATCTATCAAAGGGCAAGCCTTGGCCGACTTCGTCATCGAATGCACAGCAAGGGAGACAGCCGTCACCAACCCCGGGCCGGAGCCGGACGACACGTGGACCTTGTTCACTGACGGCTCGTCGGCCGCGAAATCATGCGGCGGCGGCGTCGTCCTCATATCCCCTGAAGGATTCAGAGCCTACTATGCCATCCGCTTCAACTTCAGGGTATCAAACAACGAAGCTGAGTATGAGGCTCTCCTCAGCGGTCTCAGACTCGCCGCCGGCCTCAAAGCCAAGCACCTCAGAATCAAGTGCGACTCCAAGCTGGTAGTGGGCCAGGTGGAGGGATCGTACGAAGCAAAGGAAGGCCGGATGAAACAGTACAAACAAGCGACGGAGGAATTGCTGAAAACGTTCGAAACCCATGAGATCACTCAGATCCCAAGGGCCGAGAATGCTGAAGCCGACATCCTCTCCAAGCTCAGCTCGGACACCCCGGAGCACATCTCCCAATTGGCCAAGATCGAGGAGTTGAGCATGTCCAGCATCCACGCCAGCCCCGTCTTGTGCGTCCGACAGCGACCAGAGGACTGGATCTCCGACATCGCCACCTTCATCACAACGGGGGAGCTGCCCCCGGACGAGGAGAGGGCCAAACTTGCCAAACTCAGGGCCCCAAGCTACACCATCGAAGATGGCAAACTCTACAAACGGTCCTACAATGGCACTCTCCTCCGATGCCTGCACCAGGATGAGGCCGATACCGCCATGGAAGAAGTTCACTGTGGCGTCTGCTCCTCACACCAGGGTCCCTTCAGCATGTCCAGGCGTCTCGTCGTCCAGGGCTTCTTCTGGCCGACGATGGCACGGGACTGCGCTGACCTGGCCAGGAAGTGCACCACATGCCAGGTACTCCAGAAAGCCCCTGGTCGGCCAGCTGTCAACTACGCCCCTGTCAGCACCGCAATTCCATTCTCTAGATGGGGGATTGACCTGGTCGGCCCCCTGCCCAGAGCCGCCGGAAATAACCGCTACATCATCGTCGCCGTCGACTACTTCACCAAGTGGGTCGAGGCGGAACCCTTGGCCAGCATCACGGGGGCCAGATGCCAAAGATTTGTTTACAAGAACATCATTACACGCTTTGGCGTCCCCCAGGAGATTATATCAGACAACGGCACCCAATTCGAGGCAGCCCCTTTCCAGGAGCTCCTCCGGGAGTTTGGGGTGAGGCACCGCTTCTCCTCCGTTGCCTATCCTCAGGGCAACGGGCAGGTCGAGAACGCCAACAGAACAATAATGGAGGGGCTGAAGAAGAACCTCCAGGCCACCGGGGGTAGTTGGGTCGACGAGCTCCCCAACATCCTGTGGTGCTACAGAACCACGCCGAGGAGGGCGACAGGCGAAACACCTTTCGCCCTATGCTACGGCTTTGAGGCGAAGGCGCCCACGGAGGTAGCCATCCCCAGCCGGCAAGTAGAGCAATATGAGCCTGACACCAACGAAGAGAACATGAAGATTGACCTACACCTGGTTGATGAGAGGCGTGAGCAAGCTTACGTCCGAGCAGAGAACTACCGGCGTCAAGTGAAATCATACTATGACGCCAAGGTACGTTCCCGGGAATTTCAGGTGGGGGACTACGTCCTCCGCCGAAGGGAAGCAAGCCAGCCGACAGAGGGTGGCAAGCTAGCATTGAAGTACGAAGGGCCCTACATCGTCAGTGCCGTGGTCAAACCCGGCACCTACAAACTTAAACGACCGAATGGGTCCAATGTACCACGAACATGGAATGTACATCATCTGGTGAAGTTTTATCAGTAATCCGAAGGAGGTGTAGACGGCGAAGCCCTCACCCCTTAACGGGTTACTGATTGAACGCCACCCTCGGCCTCGAGCCACTTATGAATAAAATCATGTTCTGATTTTTTCTCTGGAATTTAAAGTAAAAACATTAGCAGGTGCCCTCGTCGGCCACCTTAGAGCGAAAGGCTCAGGTCTGGCCGACATGGCCCCTTGCATTTGCAGCCTACGAGCGATAAGCTCAGGCACTCCATTGTACTTTGTATCAGCAAAGGGCTCAGGCCTAGCTGAGAGAGCACATCGTCCTGGCCCCGTAAACCTAGAAGTGAAACGCTCAGGTATGGCCGACGATGTCCCCAGGACGAGGGGCCCGCAAAACGGCCCACGTCTTGAAACGGGAAGCTCACCGCGTCGTACACGCGCCAGATCGCAGGACGACAGGCCTGAAATCATGGCCGAGGTGACAAAATCCCAAAACTCAGGGATGGGCAACGACAGCCGTTGGAAACCGACCAAAAGTCTAGCCCGCGTCATAAATAGGCGACGGGACCCGCCCTGAGACCACGGACGTTATAAACGAAGTCCGAACCGGCCGAAGGACGAGCACACCCTTCGGCCGAAGCCTGAAAGAAGGATACCCCCCGAAACGAAAAAAAAAAAAAAAACAAACATACAAAGGAAAAAGAGGGAAGCCGACGGCCGCGCACACTTGCCGGCCTCGAGCAATGGAAAAATAAAATCCCCAAAATTCAGGCCCATTTCGGCCAAGTACATATCAGTTGAACACAAGTTTAGTACCACTGACAGGCAGCATGGACGACACGTCAACGCACCACGAGGGAACAATCAAGGCCGATACACACGCCTTTAAAAACCCTAACCACATCGGTTGGGTGACACGCGAGAGGTGACCTTCATCGGCCATGGACCCTTGAGGCACCAACGCTGGGTATGAACCAAGGCATCGCAATCCTGAGGATGACCGGGCCGAAGCGGGCACAGCACCTCGGATGGCCGACGCAGGCACTGGAACCATAGCTAGCCGACGAATACAGGACCATCTCCTTGGACAAGCTATTTTTTGTCCAGCACCCTCATCGGCCACAAGCCAGACTATGGTGAAGGTGCCCTTATCGGCCAGAACACAGGGATACAAGCCGCCAACGGCCATGGCCAGATGTATCCAAGGACAGGACGATGAGGACGCCAACGCTAAAACAGAACGGACACCACGGTCAAGGCTACAAACGGAAGCACCTAAAAGGAATCCAAAACACTTAGGAAATTGTCTGAAAAAATCCTAAGTGTTATGATGACAAAGGAACACCGGTCAGCCGACAAGGCCACCAGGCCGAAAGGAAAGCACCTAAGTGGATCCCAAAACACTTAGAAAATTTTTGAAAAATTCCTAAGTGTTATGAAACTACGTCCAAGCCGACGAAGCCACTAGGCCGTAAAGACGGGATCTACATGGACCCAAAAACACTTGGGGAATTTTTTCCCAAATGTTATGACAGTAAATCAAAAAGGCATAGGCCGACCAGACTACTGGACGGGAAGGCCAACCTCACGGACGTAGCGGACACTCGCGGGGGACCCAAGTTATGACTTGATACTTAGACAAATTACAGAATTGAAATGACACAGCAAACAAGCACACAAAGGATTCAAGGCCGAACAGGACATCAAAAATTTCCTCGATTGATAAAATTCATTACAATTGGAGGGCACTACGGCCATTACATAATTGGGCAAAAAAATGAAAAGCTAACTACAATAGGGACTAGCCGATCAAGCCTCCGGGGTTGGCTCTTCAATCTCGTCGGCCCCCTCCTCATCGGCCTCAGCTTCCTGGCCGGCAGCGGCGCTGGTGGCATCATCCAAGAAATCGAACTCGGTATAGTCCGGCTCGCCGAGGCCGGAGCTTTCTATGGGGGACTCCCGCTCCGACAGCGGAAGCGCGGCCTGCCCTTCGGGATCCTTCATCAGCTTTGGGAGCTTCAGGTTTCGTCTAGCCCATCCGGCCGTGTAATTCATGGCCTTCAACGCCCGGGATAGCCGCCGGTACAGGAGCCTTTGCATCCGCTCCTGCCCCAGGTTGTAGTAAACAGACATCTCCTGGCTGAAATACTCCCGGCCGGCAGGGGAGTTCATCCCCCAATTCTCCAGCCTGGCGGCCACCACCTCGTAACACCAGGGGAGCCTCTCATCGGCCTTCCACCCTTCGGCCAAGAACTTCTCAACAGCCTCATCGGCAGCCCTCACAACGGCGGCTTCGGCCTCAGCTTTCGCCTTGGCGGCCTCCTCGCTCCTGCGCTTCTCGGCCTCAAGCGCTCTACGGGACTCTGCGAGCTCCCTTTTTCTCTCTTCGAGCTGGACCAGGGCAACGTCCCTGGCCGCGACGGCCTCATCAGCTTTGGCCTGCAGCGCCTTGGCATCCTCCCGGAGCCGGTCAAGGCAAGCTACCGCCTCGTCGGCCGAGGCAGCCTTCTGCTCCAGTGCTTGCAGGCGGGCAATCTCCCAGTACTGCCTCTTATGGCTTTCCATAAGCATGAAGGCACTCTGCAGAAGAAAAACTAAGGTCAGGCAAAAACTCTACATAGCCGAAGAAAGACAAGGATATAAGGACAACCACTCACTTGGACGAGGAGATCCATGCCACCCTCGTAGATCTTCGGCTCCTCGAGCTTCTTCAGATGAGTCCGATCTTTGGCCGGCATGGCCTTGGCCAGGACGACATGGCCGGGGACGAGCTCATTGAACACGCCCCCGCCGACGGGGTACTCTATCACTTTCTGATAGGTTGCACCGGCAACCTCTTTTCCGGCCCTCTGCGTCCGTGGTTCCTGGACGAGAGGAAGCGCTGGGGCGGCACCATCAGCAACAGTAAGGTCCACGACGGGACCACCATCGCCCACGCTGGGGACGGTAAGCGTACCGGCCTCACTGGCAGGAGAAGGGGAAGGAGCCCTCTTCGTCCTCTTAGAGACGCTCACGCCGGCCTCGGTCAACTTCTTCTGGCCGTCAGTGGCCGGTCTCTTTTTCTTGGACGGGGCAGGCTTTGGGGACGCATCTGCATTAGCCCCGCCCACACCGGCCGCGGCACGCCTGGCCGCTTCAGCCGCCTTAGCAGCAATCTCCTCGGCCGCTTTGGCCTTCGCAATCGCCATCATAGAACGGCGGTCCATGACAAAATCTACAAGGGAAAAGCACAAACACATTAGTAAGGCAAAGGACAAAACGTAAAGACACAAAGCCGAAGAAGAATTACCATCGGCCTCAGCGGGAATGCCCAAAGGCGGGCCATCGGCCTCCTCAAAGTTGGTGGTCATCCTCGGCCAGAGTTGGAGGTCATCCTCCTTATCTCCATACAAGTGATATCTGAAGAAGCCGAGGGCCGTCATCTTGTATTCAGTGACGTAATCTTTCACGCTCCTCGGCCCCCCTTCCAGGAAAGCCTCCACCTGAGCGTCCAGAATAGAGCTCTTCGGCGGGTCATGAAGGTTGAACCTCCCGGTGTGGCCGAGGGAGGGGAACTCGGTGCCACTCTCACCAATGGACACAAACACGAACTTGCTCTTCCACCCATGAATGGACGTAGGCAAATCCGTGAAGCTCCTCTTCCTCGGCAGCTGTTGAAGAGTGGCATAGGCCGCACAGTTCTTGTGGCTTCCTCGGCCGATCTGGTACAAGTTCATGAATAAGGCCGTGGTCGGCCTGTAGCCCAACTCCTCACACCGAAGCAAGAAGCCCACTATCAAGGAATAACTGTTCGGCGTCAGCAGGGCCGGAGGAAGCCCCACCATGTCCAGATACTCGGTGACGAAGGGGTGAAGGGGGAACCTCAGCCCCTTAGCAAAACTCATCGGGTATACTCCGAAGTATCCCGGTGGCGGAAGTAGAACATGGTCCGTCGGCCTGGGTGCCCTAACCCGCCCGAACGGCCCCACGTACATCTGGGCGACAAGATAGTCGGCCTCACTGCTCTCCGGCTTAATCAGGAATATGTTGGTAAGGTCCAAGTAGGAGAGACCCGGCCCATTCTTCGGCCTCCTCACTCTCTTCGGCTTCGATGCGCCCTTCACGGCAGATACCGGCTTCGGGCACGGAACGGCAGCAGAGGTGGACGCCCCGTCCACCGCTCGGGACGCACCTACGTCCTCACCCTCTGAAGAGGAGGCGGACTCCTCGTCCTCGATCTCCTCGTCCATTAGCTCTACAGATTTGTAGGGGCTCAAACGCTCTATCTCCTCTTCAAACTCCTCGAGCACCTCGTAGTCAAGGGACCTCGTGGAGGGCTGGTCGTCGTAGGGGTAGTAGTCCTCGTTCAAACTCTTCATTACTACTACGGGCTTAAGGAGAACTTACGATCTAAGGGTGTTTAGATGCCTAACACTAGATCAACTACTTACGGAGCAAAATATGAAAAGTGAGGAAGATCGTGATGAACACTAACCTCAAACAATGAAGAACACGAAGAACAGGCTTGGGAGTTTCTCTCTCTAGAAAATCGGCCAGCACTTCGACAAATTCAGAATGCAAATGTGATTCTTCGTCGGAGGGGAAGGGGTATTTATAGACCCCACCACCAACGGTCACTACACGTGGCACTCACCAAATGGCCACATCAACGGCCACCACTGGGGGGCCACCACGTCACCAACGGGCCAGGACCAACCCATATCAACGGCCCACTGGCAAATCAGACTCTACGGCCTACACACGCTCAACGGCTTTACAACTGCCAGCAAGCGCCCTCAACGTCCCATTTGCTCACCAATATCACAAATGCCAAACAATAAGAGGATGGCAACGGCCAGGTACGTAACGGCCACAGAACAAAGGGAACAAATAGCCCACAGCCTTCGGCTCCTCGTAATAACCCTTGATGATAACTCTCTACAAGCGATCTGCGCACAAGGGTTCTCCCACAGGGTTACCTTGGCCAGAAAATCGCCATGAGAGTTGGATTCAGGGGGACTACGGCGAGACCGCTTCGGCCAAGGACTCAGGCAACTCCTTCACCCCTCACTCTCTTCGGCCTGAAGCAGTGGGGGACTGGGGGACTACACCGGCCTCAACGAAACAAAGGTATAAACGAGGTAACCACAAAACATGGCCACATCATCCATACAGCACAACAGAACCTCATCGGCCAAAGGCCCACAACGTCACTAGCAACGGCCAACAAGCCACTAAAGGCAAGGACACTCATCGTCCTCCGCCAACAATTAATCTTGACGGGCTCTTCGGCCAAAAACACAAAGGAACAACCTCACCGGCCTCACCGGCCCAAACGTAAACTTCAAACACCAACGGCCAAGAAAGGGAAAGTGCGCCCTCAACGGCCACCATTGAAGGAAGGACACTCATCGTCCCAAAACACATTAAGGAAATGACCGCCTCCCCGCCCACAGCAAGGAACAGGTAACGGCCAAAGCACAGAATAGGATCACCAGAGAGGAAACAACGCCAACGCCACAACGGCTAACGGCCTGGAAATGCCCGCGTCGGCCAAAAGCAACAAAGCACAGAAATCTACTCTCCTTCACTTCGTCTACGTCTCAGCTTAGAGAGTGGGGGACTCCTGATGGAGTATATGGGTCTGAGCCCCAGGACCCACATACTCGGAAGAACAGAGCACAAGACAGAGTGGCGCCCTCGTCGGCCAAACGCCCTCGTCGGCCAAGACGCCCCCGTCGGCCGAGAGGAAGCCAACCCGGATTATGATCCCGAGTCCAAGGAACCCGGGTGCCCCTGTCGGCCGTGCCCTCGTCGGCCGTGCCCTCGTCGGCCACGACCTCGTCGGCCACGAGGACCTCCCAGAATCGGATCCTACACTTACTCACTTGTACAGCCCATTAGTGGCTTTGTATTCGGCCCAGTAGCGGTCCAGTTGTAAATGGGCCTCCCAAGCCCAAGGCTTGGGAGCCCAACCCTAATTTTCTCTATAAATACTCCCCTTGGGAGTAGTTATAGGGGGGACAGATTCATTCTATTGAAGCATATTATTGCACTTCTCTCTCTAGCTCTCACTTCTCTCTAGAATCTAGGAGTTAATACTCTATCATAGGGATTTTTGTTTGTTTAAATGAATATATGATAAAATGACCAAGGCATCGGGATTCACTCAAACATTAACTAGAATTCAATAAAAGTTCTTTGTCAATTCTTATGAGTACGGTATCACTATTATTTTCCCGATTCCGGTTAAGGCAGTGAGAGCGTGATTTTCGCTACGTGTGAGTCCCATTATGACTCACTTTCATCTAGAGAAAACCTCGTTGAATATTAAGATACCACACACGCACCATACAAGATTGTGTATATTTTTATCATCAATACTTTGTATGTTTATTCTTCTAGAGAACGATTTATATTGCAACGTTAATTGACCATATAAACCTCTAGATGTTATGCAACGTAATTATATATAATTAGTTTAAAGAGTAAAACGCGAATTACTTCTTCTAGTATCCAATTGATATTTCAACATTAGTTACTTCATATCAATACATGTATTATACTATTATGTTGCATAACATTAATGGAAAATTAAACATAAGAAGAATAAATCATAAAATTTGACTTGGAACAATTATCAAAAATTAGCGGGCGTAGAGGTTCATCTTGGGCCTTGGCTTAAGGAGTTAGCCTCTAATGCTCATATTAATCAAAATTACAATACTTTGAATGTAGAAGAAAATGTAAATATAAAGGAAATATTACCTAAACATAAATGGTTGGGAGAAATGAGCTTTCAAACCTCAAGAACACCATGAAGAACAAAGAAAAACTATAAAAACTAGTTATGAACTAATGAATTAAATTGAGATTGGATTATCAATTTGGGATGAATTGGAGGGTTTATATAGGCTTGAAAATCATCTTTGATGGTCTATTCATGATTCTCAATCAACTTGGGACGAAATTTCCGAGCCATACCTTCCAAATATCTTCAAATCAACTCAAAATATTCAAGCACGTTGTTAGTTTATACTTGCAATTAACGTTGAGATCTAAACTATGAACACTAAAGGATAAACATATATAGTACCGAGAATAGAAATATATCTGGTCTTATATGATACGGGTGTGATGTCTTGATATTCAACGGGGTTTTCGGTAGATGAATGTAAGTCGTAACGGGACTTACACGTAACGAAAACCACGTTCTTGCTGCCTTAACCGGAGTTGAGAATATATTAGCGACATCGTATTCATAATTATTGGAAAAGAACTAATATTCAACCTTATTAAAGCATTTAAGTGATTCTCGAAGCCTTACTTGTTGTTATCATTCATCTTAAACTGAAAATTAGTTAACGATTATCTTCTTGAACAAAAAGTGAAAAGCCAAAAATATAAAACACAAATCAAAATCCCTACACTTTACTCATTTATTTATTTAAAGTCATCTACTCTCAGACTAAATTAAACAACGTTTCCTTGTGCATTCGACCCGGTATTTTACCGGAATTTATTACTATATCGGCACTTGTACACTTGAAAGTTTAGCCCGATCAAGTTTTTGGTGCCGTTTCCGGGGAAACGGTCTTGTTTAATAAAGTCCAAAGAAAAAAACAACAATCACTCAGAAATTCTGAATTTATTTTACTCTTCACAACTTCACTTGATCTTGGAAAGGTTTGTTTTTGTGTGTATAATTCCTTTGTGTTTGCATGCACTTGAGAAGTCAAGGTTCTAAATCTCTCGAACCACTCGATCTTGAAATAGAAAAAACTTGCAAACACATCCGGAAGGAGCAAAAAGCCACAAAGATGATGTCCACACTAAACGAGAGGAAGAGACCCGTGGTGGCCGCCACGCCATCTTGCATCACTTTGAGCAAGGAAGCAAGGGACTATGAACTAAGGCAAAGAAATTTCAACGCTACGCCTCAGTTTCATGGTTCACTAGGGGAAAATCCACTCAACTTCATCACCGAATTCTATGGATTCATTCAAGGAATCCATAGAAATGGCTTGACGGAGGATCAAATTAAATCAAACTCAAATGCTTCTCCCAAACTTTCAAAGGGGCGGCAAGAGGGTGGTTCCTAGAGCAAGCTCCGGCAAGCTACACAACATGGGAAGGTATTTACAATGCCCGCACAGTTGTATTAAACTCTCTCTAATATAAATATATCTTCAATGAAACATGGGATATATCCAAGTATAACGAGAAAAATCATCAATGAAACATACATAATACTTGAATCCCAAATTTGAATACACAGGTGACTGTCACACATCAGAATGAATAATTTCCAAAGGAAAAACATAATTATGACTAGCATCCATAAAAGGCAAACGTTGTGATTTTCCTAAACGACAGGCCACACACTCAT